TGTGAATCGGCTGAGGCGGCCCTGGCGGATGAAGGTCTCGATCTGGTCTTTGAAGTTAATGCACTCGTCGGTGGTATGGCCATGGTCTTGGTGGAAGCGGCAATATTTGGACTGATCTTTTCGGGTGGAGGGGTTTCGTGACGGTAGGGGCCACTTGAGGGGGTAATCCCGTTGGATCTGATTGAGGACGTGCTCCATGGGGGAGTTGAGAGGTGTGTACCGCTCAAACCGACCGGGCGGTCGGGTCGGAGTCGACCGGTCGGTTCGGGGGGGTCGGTCATTATAGTGGTGTGTTTGGCTAGTATACTGGGCGGTTCTGGGCTCAGGGTCTTTCCTCTTTTCTCTGGGGGTCGGGTTTTTAGGGGTCGGCTCCTGCCGAGCGGCCATGGAATCTTCAGCATTCATGTATTTCTGGGCTTTGGATAATAGAGCTGCCATGGTGGTTGGAGGGTTTTTGGAGAGGGAGAAAAGGAAATCAGACGACCGTAGGCCGGCCATGAAAGCGGTGAGGATGATCTTGTCGTCATTCTCCGCCACTTGAAGGGCTTTGGTGTTGAACCGGGTGACAAAGCTGCGGAGCGATTCCCCCTCGGTCTGACGAATGTTAAGGAGCTGGGTGGCTGGGCGTCTCTGACGCTGGGCTCCGATAAAGTGGCTCAGGAAGGAGTCACTGAGGCATTGAAAGGTGGAGACGGAGTCCGCCGGTAGTTGGCTAAACCACAGCCGAGCTGATCCTTTCAGTGTCACTGGAAAAGCTCGGCACATGATCTCGTCAAGGAAAATCTGGAAAGTCTAATCCATATTTTAAAATTGTGGGTTTGATACAAAGAAAATGAGTTAAAACTAAATTTGGACGAGGATCATGAGGGTGCGGTAGGTTTCCAGATGGTCGACTGGGTCCGTCGTGCCATCGAAGGAGTCAACGGTAGGCATCTTGAACTTGGCAGGCAATGGTTTGTCGCGGATGGAGGCAACAAAAGGCGAGTTGGTGGTGACTGAGGGCTTGTGCTGAATGTTCTGCATGACCCCTTGTAGTTGGAGTTTCATAGCTCGGATTTCAGCGTCCCAGAGGGGAATGTTGTCGCCATGGTCGGTCAATGGAGGCTGGACACTGCTAGCTTCCCCCTCAGGAGCCAATGCTGCGACTGGCGGGCGTGGAGGTGGAGGTGGTAGGTTTTCATGTTGGGGAGGAAGGAGCTGCGAACCTCCTGGGTTAGGCGGAGGGGGTTGTGGGGCAGTATGGCCTGGGGTTAGTCCTTGGTTGGGCGGAATATTTGGAGGTGGAACGGGGGGGTTTCTCTGGAGTAACGCATTGATCAGGGCCTGGTTTTGCTCGGCCATGCGGTTAATGCTGTTGGTGAGCTCGATGATGTACTGTGGTGGGTTGGTTGGGTGGGAAGGATCTGTTTGGTGATCGGCGGTGTTGCGATGGGAAGCCATGGACCTAGTCGTGACCATGCACCTGGACGGGCAAGAGGGGAAGGTGATGGTGAGAAGGGAGGGCTCCGGCGGTAGTGAACACAACTAGCGCACGAATAAACCACTGCGTTCCCACAGACGGCGCCAACTGATAAGGTGATAAGGTTCTGCCTTCCGGGTGGATGGGTCGAACTGGTCCAGGCTCTTCAGACTCTGGCTCAGGGAGATGACTCCGTCAAATGACCTGCATGCAAGCCCAGAGGGGAACGGGGTAGTCCCCCAGTGAACCCTCCGGTGTGAGAATTAGTAGAGGAAGGAGTAGGAGAAAAACTGTGTAGAGAGGGATTGAGAGAGAGAGAGATAGCTTAACCTTGTTCTTGTTCTCCTATCCTTACTTATATCCTTTCGTTATCATTTTTCCTGTCTCTTGTGACGTGCTTCCTTCCGCCGAAAGCCTGTGCTGTAGCTTACCTTGTTCAGGGTGATGGAGGCTCTGTTCCGGCGGGGGGGTGTTGTCGTAATAAATGCTGTGATGGGATGCATTAATGGTGATGTGTTGTGATAATAACTCTGCAGATCTTTGTCTGCTGATGTGGCCCGTATGCCACCTGCCATGTGCCCAAATGCCATTGGCCCTCAATGTCTAGATGGCCTCCAACTGTCCTGGGCTTTGCCAACCGGGTTATGTCATTGGTCCCAAGCGATGGGTTTGGGGTGGTTTACTATAGGCCGTACGCCTTGTGGGCTTATCCATGCCAAGTTTTCTTTTTAAATTTTAGGGATGAGTAACGAATATATTAATTCACCCAAACTTACAAATCCGAACCGATCCACCATATTTTGGACGGATGTGTAATGACGAGCGGACGGTTGCGGATTGATTTTTTCCAATCCGCCTAATTTTGGAGGGATGGCGAATTTGAGATTTCTTTAACCGCAACCGAACCGCGAGCACCCCTAATAATTTGTAAGATTTTATGTTTTCAATTTGTTTAGATATTCTGTTTATATTTTTAATTGAAAAAGAGTTTAAATATTCTATTGAAAAAGAGTTTTCAATTTGAATTGAAAAAAATAAATATATTATTTATCTGTATTTTTTTGTTTTTAAATTTAATTCTAAAAATAATAAATAAAAAAGATAATATATGTTGGTTGATTTTTGTTTTCAAAAATAGATATAAATGTAACAATACAGAGGCATACAATCTCTATTACTGCTTTGTTCATGGTTTTGGTAGTTTGAATTATTTTTATATTTTAAGAATCACAAATTGTAATACTTTATGTGGATGAGACATATTGTGATTGTAATGTGTGAATGAGGCATGCAGTGATTGTAATATTCAAAAGTTTCAAACTTTCTTTTCTTTGGATGAGGCACGCAGTGATTGTAATACTTTTTTAAGTAATTGGCTGTAATATTTTTTTTTAAGAAGTACACAAATTGAATTATGTTGAAAATTTATAAAATTTTAAACTGTCAAACTTCATCCTCTAATATGCTCAATCCAGATCCGCCGGATTGGACGGATGCGGATTGATTTTCTCTAATCCGCCAATCTGGCAGACGGATGACGGATCGGAGGTTTCATGGCTGCAACCAACTCGCGCTCACCTCTACTAAATTTTGTCTTTTGTGTTATATTAGTTCTTACACTTTCAATTAGCTCAATTTTGACTCTTAATTTTTTTAAATTTTTGTGTCAATTTGGTCCAATTGATAATGATGTTAGGATTTTTTATGAAAAATAATTACTAAGTTAGTTGATACTAACTTAGTAAATTGATATAGTTTATAAATTTACCCTTACGTGATGCATGTCGCTCATATTTGGATTTTTTATAAAATAAAAAATATCCTTACGGGCTACATATCGCTTATATTTGTATTTTTTATAAAATAAGAAATATCGGTGCAATTCACCTTGAAATTTATTTTTGCAAAATTTTTTTTTGAGACAAATGAAAATATTATAAAATTCAATTTTTATACAATTTTTTACATATATTTTTTCAACTAATCAAACCTATTGTTTCAATTTTTTATTTTTATTTTTTTTAGCTTCTTATTTTCCTAAAGTCAAACCAAACATAACAGGGTTGTTCTACGCATACACTACAGCAAGATGGCGGCTTAAGGCATGTGTTCATTTGTTTTTTTACAAACAAAACGCCACCGTTTGGCTGTCGCAGTATTGTGACAACCACGAGCAAGGATCCTCTAGAGTTTTTTTTTTCTAAAATTTCCTAGAGCAGTGCATTGTGTGGTTGAGATTTAATGACAAGTCACATCAATTTTTCAGTATTAAATCTCAACCACACAATACACCACTTTAGGAAACTTTAAGAAAAAAATACTCTAGAGGATCCTTGGTGGACGACCACATCCTTAGATAAATTAATTATAATTATATTAATTATATATTTATTGCTAATTATGTGATTATGTGTTATGTGAATTATACATGACACTCCAACGTAATACTAAAAAACTCTTTATGTTGTGTTTGGTTGGTGGATTTGAGTAGAGATTTAGAAAGAAAAATAGAAAAGATAAGTAAAATATGAATAAAACATACCTATATTTCACCTAGTTTTACACATTTTTTCTCTTTTCCTTTCCAAATCCCTCTCCAAATCCCCCAACAAAACATAACATTAGTGTATTTTTTTCAAACATAGCACTCCAACATAACTTCTCAAATGTAACACTACAATGTGACAGACAAATAAGTTATTACACATTCAAAATGACTAAATGGATCACAAGAAAAAATATGAGACTATGTGAGTGTTTGGAAAATGAGTTTTTTTGTAAATTTTTTTAGTTGTAAGATATTATTGAATTTTTTTTTGTTTTTTGTTTTTTTGTGTTTGGGAAGATAGTTGGGTCTTTTTGTGGTTGGATGTGATATTTGTAAGAGAAAAAATAAAATGATTATAGCGTTTAATGTGATATTTTGTTTAGATTTGTTTTTTTTGATTTTGTAAAATATTTGTTTTGTAGTGAAGAAAAACAAAAAAAAAAACCCAAAAATCCAGTTCCCAAAAACACCGCCCACATGGATCACAAGTCCAAAATATGAGATTTATTAATCAATCACCCTAATAAAAAATCATTATTTCACCAATTTTTTATCACCATTTTACATAATAAAATGATAAAAAAACATAAGTGATATAGCATACATATATATCCACCCTATTTTTGTTTTTATGCATATAGTTTTTCCAGTTAAGAATTTAACAAATTAATTAGGTTTCCACAAATAATATTTATCACCTTATACACTTTTATCGTTTTATTTCACTTGCATGTGTGTGTGTATATATACATATATATTACATAAAGTAAGGACATATATATGTGAAAAAATTAATAATACAATGTACCAACCAGGTAGCTCATACTCCAAATAGCTATGTATACACATACATGTATGAAATATGTATAAGAAAGAACCTCATAAGCTTTGACAGTTTTCTTTCACAGATAAAAATCATTTAGGTCCCTCATACTCAGTGAGTGCACAGGGCTCCAATTACTACAGGGTTTTGGAGAGGAAGATGATCTCGAGGAATAACCATACTTCAAAACTGGGCAAATCGCTGACATAATTAATATAATTACTTCTATTAAGCCCACAAAATATACACACCTGAGATTCAACCGAGTTTTAATCATTCATATAGATATATTGCCATCATGGGCACAAAACCGACAAAATTAAAATTGAGAGAGAGAAGCCTGTGCCTACTACCATTTCCAAAAGTCTGAAGATCTTATTTATTATGTCCTTGAGCAGCAGCAGTTGTGGGCGAAATATCCTCTGGTGCAGATTCCTTGCCGGCAAGTCTTCCCAACTGAATTCCCGTAGTTGAACCATCAGTAGATTTTCCTCCAACAGAGACATTAGTTGCCGCCTTCAACTGCTTCTTCCTCACTTTCTGAGCCCAACCAACAAGCCCCACTTGCACATGCTCATCAAATATTGCTTTCTTGAAAGAAGTTCCCATCTTCATTTCATTGCGCGCGCACAAGAAAAAAATAAAGTGAAAAAGAACAAATAAATGGGGTCAGATTTGTCCATCACATGCCAAGTTATATTATTATTGCATTAGACTGCCATTGAACTTACCTGTGTTACGATGGCATAGAGTGGCAGGGTGCTATAACTGCAGAGCACCTGGATGAATACCCTAAAAGGACAAATGATAATGTTCATTGTAACTCTTAACAGTAAACAAATCGAATTAGGATTACAAAACAATGCATCATATAGTGTGTATACACATATTCAGAGAGACACTAAAATTTAGAAAAGCCAAAATGAGAAAGAATTCAAGGAGAAAAGCTGTCAATGGTTCTCACCCTATAACAAGCCTCGGTACTATATAACGGACTTGTCCCATTATGCAAGAGTCAAAACCATATTGAACCTGCAAGTGATTCAAGCATATAAAAATATCTGGAAATACTAGTTCTAAGAAAAATGAGAAGAAGCAATTTCATATCAGCTTTACCCATATCCAGAAGAAAAATGCTATCTCGAAAGCATTTTGGAATAGTATGAAATGTATCAAGTAAAGGACAATACGGGGCCGATGAAACCAAAAATGATCGTCTGAAGGTTGAACTACTAATTCCCCTTCTATTGCAACATGTTTCTCTGCAACCTCATGAGCCAACTGGCTGATTACATGCTCCAGCTTAGTGCCCACAGCTAGTAGTAGCTGAAAAATAAATAACAGATATAATTACATATAAGAGACGCCATAGACAATAACACTTTCATAAGAACTACCCATTAGCCATTAAAGTTCTATGTCAAACCATTGGAAGATAAAGACAAACCATTGGAAGTGCTTTAAAGTTCCCATGTCTTGTTAACTAATGCTTATGTATCAGGTATTTCAACCAAAAAAAAAGAGAGATGCATCAGATACAGTAGCATTGAATAGACAGAACCATCGTTATTTATAGTTGAAATATGAATAAATATTGGAGATTAGTGTCAACTACAAATTGTTTTTTGGTAAATATAAATAATTACTATTTAAATATAAAGTACTAGAATAAATTTGAGTTAATTATTTCTTATAATCTGATGGTTTCTATGAATTTTGTCTTGCTTGGTAACTTCATTGATGGGAGTGCAATTCAAATTATTAGTTTATTACGCCCTTCAAGTGGCTTTGGCCATCGCGCTTGAAATTCAAAATTGTTTGATAGTTCATATTCAAGCCACCATTAGTTAAATATTGGTTAACAGGCTTCATAACTATGGTAACTGTCAATGAATGAATCTCAGTTATGGGCATAAAAAATAAGGGTGAAAGAACATATTGTGAGAGCATGCTACAACTTATTAATACATCAAGCAGTTGTACGCTGCTCTTAACCCACAACCAAAAATTTTCGGTACTTGATTTCCAAAATGGAAATCCAAGCTAACATGCAAAGAGAAACACAATTGTTCATTTGCTATAAGTAAAATGTTACAAGCACTATAACATGCACCCAGGACAAAATAGCTACTCAAAGATCACAATGTGCAGGTGGAGCACATGCTCTTCACAAATTTAAATACGTCTTATGGGAATTGAAACTTGAAATTCAAAGGATTTTATACAAGTTCAGATAAAACAGCAAGCAAACACAAGATATAAAAAAATTGACATATTCATTAAACATAATTTTTTGAGGAGTAAAATAAAACATTGAGAAGACAATTATGATAGGAAAAAAATGCATGACCAAGTACACAGATTATATTAGAACAACTCACGATGAAAGGAATGAAAGCTATCCAAAAATAGGTATGCCACCCTGAAAAAAAAAATAGTAAATCACTTTTCATCTAGATATCTTAACATGTGCCAAAACCAGAAACAATAATATAATGACACAAATTTTTTTTAAAAAAAGGATAATGAATATCATTATATCACAGAGATTTGTGCAGGTGAATCCAGAAATTTGGGAGGAGACCAACTTTTGTGTTCAGGAACTTGTCACTGTAACTTTGGAAGAGTCCCTCTTCCCATCTAATTTGAGCACCCACACACAAAAAAAAAAAAAATAAAAAAAAATAGAAAACTCCAAACACTTTTTGAGTAACAAACCTAAACATTTGACTGAACCCCAATAACATTGAGCAACAACATGAAACTAAAATTAAAGCGCAAGAAAATAATCAATTCACTTGACAACATTTGGCATTAGGATTTAGAGTGAAAGTAACATACCACTGACATTCAGCAACAAGAAGATGACCACAAATATCCATAGATACCAACTGCAACCAACCAAATCTGATATTAACCCATGAAAAAAAGAAAAAAGGAACAAAGATGGATATTAAAATAAAAGGAAATTCTATTTTTAGGCAATACCCTCCTAGTACTAAACAATGGAAAACCAGCACTAAAAACTCTTCTTTTTTTTTCCTAAGAAAATAAATAATTAATTTTGGCAATATGCCCAATGAACAAACAAAAGGAGGCATAAGAAGCTTTAGCATTTAAACAGGTAATCCCAGTTATCACTTGCCTTATACCAACAACTTTCTTAAAATCATCTTCTAGGGCACGGATCATATACTTGTGAAAATTGAACTTTGGGTTTCCCCTGCAATGTGTCTACCAGTAAAAAAAAAAATATTCAACATTAACGCAAATGCTTGTGAAGTAGCAATAAGAAAAATAAACAAATATAAAAGCAAACACAAACCATACATCAGATACTTACCATGATAAAACCAAGTCTCAGTGTCATGTAGTCTGATCTGGTGACGGATCCATAAAATTGCTTGAAAAAGGAATACTGAAAAGTACAACATAACAAGGCATTACAAATATGACTCAATGCATTTTAGAAAACAATAAGCATATCATTCAAGTAGTTTCAGATTATATAGCTACCCAACAATGAGACAGTTCAAGATACATTATTTTATATTTCACAATTAAGAGCAATGTTTAAGTGATAGTTGGTTCAATTTGTAAACTGGATATTGCTAAAATACAAAGCAACAAGACCAGAATGGGAGAATGGAGCAAGGTGAAACCAAGCCAGGGCTGGCGCAGCCAAGCCACAACAGACTTAGGATGTTACGCCAGTTTGTGTCATATCATCTTGAAGGTCTACTATTAAAGAAAATAATGGATCAAGGTGAAACCAATGTCTTAGGAGAAACATTAGGCATCATAGGATCAGAGGTATGCAGAAATGTCAAACAGTACCATTTTCTGCAAAATGGGAGAATGGAAGACGCATTCTACCATGAGAGGATAAGAACTTACCAACCAGCCTAACATCACTGAATTTTTACCAATACCCAGAAAGCGACCCTTGATGAAGTCATGTTGATGGACATCAGTGAGCTTAGGTTCCATAACTGCACAAATAACGTGCACAGACTAGAAGTATTATGAACCAGATCAAAGTAAAACTTACAGAGGACACAGGATGAAAGCAATTAAGCTCCAAAATATTTACTATCTTATGCCAAGAGCATTGGTGTCACAATTTTATTTTCTTCTTCCTTTCCCAAAGTAGATTCTCTTTTCTTTTCTTTTTTTTTTTTGATAAATAAAATCAGATTCCCAAAGTGTATTCTTTTCATAATTCTAATAATAACAGCAGAAGCAAACAACTGCTTAAAGTCTTCACAATCAATCGGTTAACATAGACCTTAGTTGAATTCAGGTCTTCTTTAGTAGAAGAAATATGATCCATATTGAACAGTTTCCATAACATACTCCTAAGAGTGAAAATCTATCACGTAAATGCATATGTGCATGGCATGTGCATACACACCATAATTAAAATAGTCACCAAAAAAAACAGAGCAAATTTTGTTGAGCTTTAATGGGCAGTAACTCTCACCTTGTTTTGTATCATAATTATCTTTTGCAATGGAGTCTTCCCAGTGCTTCCAAAGACGTATCTATGTCACGATAAACACACAATTACAGCAGAAGATTATAAAACTAGTATGTGGTAAGATTCTTTTGTTTTGTTGTCAAACAAAGCATTAGAATGTTAGTATAGTTAGATTACAAAAACAGAATCAAGGGGGGAGGCAAGGGGATAATCCGATCACCTTCGCAGCACAGTAATTGGCCCCGGGTAATTGTTCAGCGAGCAAACGGCGATGATGGGAAGTAGTTTCAGTGGTGTTAGAAGAAGAATCTCCTTGGTGGGAAGAAGATTGTGATGGGAGCTTACAAGGAAGGAGGTGATGGGTAACACTCTGATTAACACATATCTTGATTATACTGCCTTGGAATACAGTCAGAAGTAGCGAAATGAACCCTAACACCATCAACTCTGCTCCCAACCCACATTTCCATAAATAATATAATAATTAGACTTAGAAACAAAATTGAGAGAGAATACAGTTTGCAATAATTTCAAACAACATGAAATTTTAGGCACCTTCTTTGACTTTCTGTAAAGCTTCAAAGAGGGGCTTTTGATTCTTCCTCTTCAGATACTGCAATCATATATATACATATATATAGGGTGAAATAGATAAACCTTCTAAATTGAAATTCACAGTAAAAACAGAACTGATTATAGATATAGATGTAAGATAAATTGATGTATTTTTATTGATTGATATGTATTACAAGATTGTTGTGTATATTGATATATAGTATTACAAATCAGAGTGGCATTATATAGGAGAGGGTTTGGGTTAGTGAGTGGTGGTAGTGGATGGTAGTGGAGGTGGTGGGTGGTAGTGGAGATGGTAAGTGTGTTAGGTTTAGTGGGGTGGATGTAGTGGGTTAGGTTAGTGGGTTAGGTTTAGTGTACATTAACAGCCCCCCTCAAACTCAAGGAGGATAGGAACTAACCAACTTAAGTTTGAAGAGAGTAACAAAACAGAAAAAAATAAACTGACAAATAAAACAGGATAGGAGACACGGTATGGTCGTGTCAGACCGATGTAGCAGACAGTTTACGGGGTCATGTCGGACCGTTGTAGCAGGACAGTTTACGGGGTCATGTCGGACCGATTTAGCAGGACAGTTTACGGGGTCATGTCGGACCGATTTAGCAGGACAGTTTACGGGGTCATGTCGGACCGATTTAGCAGGACAGTTTACGGGGTCATGTCGGACCGATTTAGCAGGACAGTTTACGGGGTCATGTCGGACCGATTTAGCAGGACAGTTTACGGGGTCATGTCGGACCGATTTAGCAGGACAGTTTACGGGGTCATGTCGGACCGATTTAGCAGGACAGTTTACGGGGTCATGTCGGACCGATTTAGCAGGACAGTTTACGGGGTCATGTCGGACCGATTTAGCAGGACAGTTTACGGGGTCATGTCGGACCGATTTAGCAGGACAGTTTACGGGGTCATGTCGGACCGATTTAGCAGGACAGTTTACGGGGTCATGTCGGACCGATTTAGCAGGACAGTTTACGGGGTCATGTCGGACCGATTTAGCAGGACAGTTTACGGGGTCATGTCGGACCGATTTAGCAGGACAGTTTACGGGGTCATGTCGGACCGATTTAGCAGGACAGTTTACGGGGTCATGTCGGACCGATTTAGCAGGACAGTTTACGGGGTCATGTCGGACCGATTTAGCAGGACAGTTTACGGGGTCATGTCGGACCGATTTAGCAGGACAGTTTACGGGGTCATGTCGGACCGATTTAGCAGGACAGTTTACGGGGTCATGTCGGACCGATTTAGCAGGACAGTTTACGGGGTCATGTCGGACCGATTTAGCAGGACAGTTTACGGGGTCATGTCGGACCGATTTAGCAGGACAGTTTACGGGGTCATGTCGGACCGATTTAGCAGGACAGTTTACGGGGTCATGTCGGACCGATTTAGCAGGACAGTTTACGGGGTCATGTCGGACCGATTTAGCAGGACAGTTTACGGGGTCATGTCGGACCGATTTAGCAGGACAGTTTACGGGGTCATGTCGGACCGATTTAGCAGGACAGTTTACGGGGTCATGTCGGACCGATTTAGCAGGACAGTTTACGGGGTCATGTCGGACCGATTTAGCAGGACAGTTTACGGGGTCATGTCGGACCGATTTAGCAGGACAGTTTACGGGGTCATGTCGGACCGATTTAGCAGGACAGTTTACGGGGTCATGTCGGACCGATTTAGCAGGACAGTTTACGGGGTCATGTCGGACCGATTTAGCAGGACAGTTTACGGGGTCATGTCGGACCGATTTAGCAGGACAGTTTACGGGGTCATGTCGGACCGATTTAGCAGGACAGTTTACGGGGTCATGTCGGACCGTTGTAGCAGACACTGTACGGGGTCATGGCGGACCG